TCCATTCAACTATTAAGTCGAATACTTCGGTAATCAATCACTGTACCACTGAACTTGATTCCAGCATAAGAAAATTCTGGGAACTTGAAGATGTCCCAATTTCTAAGGCCCAGTTGGGTATAAAGAATGCCCCATCTCCAAGTCTACAAGAGTCCATTCAGAACTCTCCAAGTCTAAAGGAGTTCACTCAGAACTCTCCAAGTCTACAAGAGTCCATTCAGAACTCTCCAAGTCTAAAGGAGTTCACTCAGAACTTTCCAAGTCTGCCGGGGTCCATTCAGACCTCTCCAAGTCTACCAGACTCTGTTCAAGGGTCACCGTCTCTAACTTTGAGCCTACAGAGCTCCAAACACAACTCTCCAACCCCCTTACAAGTATCAGTTCACAGCCTGAAAGAGGCCATGTCCCCTTTGGTCGAAATGCCATCAAGCCCTGGGTGCTCCAAGCAGATTCCAATTCCTATAGAAGAAGACTCTATAGAGAGCCAGAACCGAGTTGATAATCTGCCATCCTACCCGATGAGCCCAGAGCAGAGTTACACTCTCTCATCGGCTTCTGTTGAAGATTTCAAGACCCAAAGTGGGCCCAAGTCCCCTACATCTCCCACCAGAGGTTCAGAGAGTTGCCGATGTTCTGGGGATTATACAGAGCCCCATATGTCTCAGAACTCCAATTTTTCATGCTCCTCTATAGAAGAATCTGAAGATAATTCAAGTAAATCTGAAGAAAATCTAAGTAGATCCGAAGATAATTCAAGTAAATCTGAAGAAATTCCAAGTAAATCTAAAAAGTCACGTATCTCTAAGTTAACTCCACAAATTACTACTAAACAAAACCAATTACTTCCTTCTGAATCAAGTCAACCATCCACTCCAGAACAACCTCTCGCTTCTCAGTCAAGTGAACCACTCTCATCTAAGAAAGAAACTTCGATTATTCCTAAGATAAAGCCACCACCCTATTATAGGCGAAAACGTCAACTTCCTGCTGAGAAAACTTCATGGGATGAACCAATTGAATCAGATATAAAGTCAAATTGGAATAAATTCCAAACTCAACTATCGTGCCTAAAGGAAATCAAAATACCAAGATACCTGAACAGCTCATCTTCTGAAATAGAAGAATTACAACTACATGGATTTTGTGATGCATCCCTTATTGCTTATTCAGCAGTTTTTTACTTGAAAACTAGATTCAAAATTCAAAAGATCAAAATCAATCTGATAACCTCAAAAACTAAGGTTGCACCATTAAAGACCATTACAATTCCAAGACTTGAACTAAGTGCAGCATTGCTTTTGGCTCAACTGAATCAAGTCATTCTTGAATCATTTCCTTTTCAACCTGACAAAACCTTTTTGTGGACTGATTCACAAATCTGCATAGATTGGATAAGATCAGATGCCAGCAGATGGAAGGCCTTTGTTTCGAACAGAGTGTCGTCAATTCAAAATTTGACTCAAATCACTGATTGGTTCCATGTATCCAGTCAAGATAATCCAGCTGATTGCGCATCAAGAGGAATCATGCCTCAAGACTTGGTCAATCATAGAATTTGGTGGCGGGGTCCTATTTGGCTTCAAGAAAATAATGTTCGATATATTCCTTCTTCACCAACCCAAGTAAATCTCAATATCATTCAAGAAGAAGTCGGTGAGGGTCAAGTGTTGGATCAAACAACCTTAATTCAAAATTCAGAAACTATGTTAAATCTAGAATTCATTGAAAGGTATTCCACAATGACCAAATTGATCCGAATAACAGCTTGGTGTTGGAGATTCTACTACAATTGCCTCCTCTTTGATCCAATTCGTCAGAAAGGACCTTTGACAACAAGAGAATTAACAAAGGCAATTCAAGTCTTAGTCAAATCAATCCAGCAAGTTGAATTCTGCACAGAAATAAAATTACTGAAGTCAAACAAACAACTACCTCTGTCCAACAAGCTAACTTCTCTAAATCCCTTTTTAGACACTCAAGGACTTCTAAGAGTTGGAGGTAGACTCAAGTATTCCTATTTAAATGAAAATCAAAACTTCCCTCTCTTACAACCGAAACCCCCACGCCAGGAATCACTTATCAAAATTCTCTTAACTGAGAATGCCGACATTCCTGAGGCTATTGATGAGAATCAAGAAGATTCTTCAATTTTAGAAACCACTTTTGTCATTGAAGACGAAGAGTCTAACAAAGATATCGGGACTCCAAAGATTGAAATCTCCGAAGTTTCGGTTATTGATAAATCGGAAGGCAAATATTCGAAAGAACCAGTGGTCAGTGCAGAAGCTCTGGATAAGAAAGAACTGTGCCATGATGACTCAGCTCACCTCAATGTAGTTGAAGCTGATCTTAATCAACCTAAAGAGGCTACCAGTGGCATAATCAATGTTTATACAGAAGCTAATGAATCGTCAAGCAAAGAGAAAGTTGTACCTGTTGAAATTGTGGATACATCAACAAAGGATTATCTACAGAGCGGTGAAAAGGCTAAATTATCCCGCTGGAAACCCATCGATTCTCTATGCTTAGAAGACGTCAAGGAATCTGAAGACGACGATGAAAATTACAGTTCATCGGCATATATAGAATGGCCAGAAATCTTGAAGAAAGAAGTCATAAGACCCGAAGCTTTAGAAAAGGCAGTCAATCTGGAAGATTTTGAGAAGGCGGCAGAAAGTCGACAACTCTCCAAAGAACATTTAGAGGAATCGACCGAACAAGGCTCATGCATAAAGGCTGAATCAAAACCTTGGGAAGATCCTATTGAATCCGACTTAGCAGCCGCAGAGTCTGATAATCCAGCAGTTCCCGAAAGAGAACTGGCCAACGAATCTGAAAATCTCATCCAAGATTCACCTCAATCGGATACTCAAAGATGGAAGCTGATTCCATTACCTTTCAAACAATGAGAATTGTAATCTTAGCTACATAGTCGGACTCAATTAGTCCAGCATCTATACTATTGGAACTCTTTTTTTTATTTTTTTTTATTTTCTGGTCATCTCTTCCCAGCCGGGGGAGTATGTTGGATCCTATAGTTGGTAATTTCCTTAAATTCAATTTTATATATGAAAATTAAGTCAAAATCTTCTAAATTCAATTGTACAATATAAATCTTTAATATGTAAATTTTAAAGCAATCAACATGTATGTAAATTTTCTAGTTTGGTTAATTAATAGCTTTTTTGTTTTCTCTCTCTCTCTACCACTAGTATCAAAATCTAAGTAAAAATTCATGTATCTAAAATTCATGTGGTAGCTACTCATAACTCTAAAACCCAAAGAAAATAAAACGATTCAAGACAAGTGGCAAAGTGCTTCTTAGTATCTTTTACTGAACATTCATGCCACGAACACTACTGATGAGCCAAACCCTCTCATTCAGTAACTTATATCATTGAATTAAGGTCTGTAGAGATAAAATATTTGATGATATTTTTGAAAAAGAAACACATTACCAGTAAATTTATTTGTTACAAATTTTAGACGCAAATGGTCAATCGTGTGAGTTTAGTTTTATAAATAACATTTTGGATTTTAAAATTCTGTCATACAGATTTTATTTTTGCGACAAGAATCACAAGGGGGTCAGTGGAAGGATGGTCGAAACAGTTGGTTTTCAACCGCTACGACCCGGGTTCGATTCTCGCATTGGGCACTTTTTTTTCTGATTAAAAAAAAAAAAGTTCCAATCGCCCAATTCCAATTCCAATTCTTTCATAAGTCCAACCCCACCAGCGAATACAAGTAGCCAAAATGGGGCTCTGGCATATTTTAAAGTGCAAAGTCGAACTGCTTTTCACATGCGTAGACATGTGGTGCACTTGCAGTAAAAGTAGTCGCCTATTGCAATCCACCATGATTAATCATGGCCTGTACCACGTGCACTAGGGATAAGCAAAAATATATATAATCAAAAGGATTAACAGTTTAAAAGAAACATAATTGATCAAATACAATCTTCTCTCAGTAGGGAAATTGAAGATATAGTACTGGCCCAACAGTCATATCTCAGGGTAATATAGGTAGATCCACACAATTTACAAATAAATTCTTAAACTTGGCCTTTGCCGGTCCCAAGCCCGGATAAAAAAGGAGGAGGGGGAGCAGTAACAAGCTCGCTAAAAATCCTGGGCTCAGCTGGCCCGGCTGATAGTACCCTGTAAGGGCTCCTAATCCAGGGATACAGGATGAGCAGCGTTTGTACTCCATGTTAGGAGCAGCTGCACATGGCGTCTGTTCCTCATGTCAGAGGCGGCCATTTCTTTTGGAGCTAAGTCGGCCTGCTACTGAGTAGTGCTCCCAGTCTTAATGACAAAGGAAGACGCATTCTACTTCACCCAGTCATAATGGTTGTCAAACAGACACCATCAAGGGTCACAACTTGATACCCTAATATGATTGAGTGGAGATAAGAAAGAAGAAGACAGACGTATATAATTCTTCTAAAATATAATTTTCAAAAAATTGTTTTTCCAGACATTATATATAATAATGGTAAATCAAACTGGCGAAACCGCTGGAAGGGTTTACCACTGATGAGCCGGGCCCTTTCATTGGTTTTTCCATTGCAGTAAGGACAGTAGAAAATTGTTTAATTTTTAAAAGAATCATACGCGTCTATAATAGTTTCGAATTTACATAAAATATGTAATATATTTCTTTTAAAAACAAATGAGTAGTGCTCCCAGTCTTAATGACAAAGGCAGACGCATTCTACTTCACCCAGTCATGATGGTTGTCAAACAGACACCATCAAGGGTTACAACTTGATATCCTAATATGATTGAGTGGAGAAAAAAAAGAAGAAGAAGACAAATACATTCTTTACTCCGTGAAAAAAATAGTACAGATGTGATATTGTACTGGGATAAGGTGTATAAATTATTGAAAAGGCATCTCCTTATCGTACAACTGAAAGTTGTTGATGTCTTGCGCCATCTATCGGAATAATTATCAACTATTCTCGTTGATTTTTAATTATTCCAGAATTGCCCAAATACCCATCCTTGATTAATAAAGAAAAGCTAACCAAGGACGCGTTTTGCACCACGCTGATGAGAGCCACAGCCCGAAACGCGTTCTCAGTTAGCTTTTATTGATTAATCAATAATGGGTATTTGGCCAATCTGTAATAATTAAAAATCAACGAGAATAGTTGATATTTATTCCGATAGATGGCGCAAGCCATCAGCAAATTTTAGTTGCACGATAAGGATATACGTTTTTCATAATTCTTTACTCCGTTTCATGGAATATTAAATATATAATAATATGGATATGGAATATTAAAAAAAAGTATAACTGTGTGTGACAGAAAGATATGGTATAAGTACAACAGTCAAGTTTCCTCTAGAAGTTCCTAACGTAGAGATCGTAGCCATCTCTCACCTATAACAGCAATGTACCTGTCTAACCTTATTGTGGGCATAGGGGCTCTTATTGTAAAATTGCTATGTATATGTAAAAGCTATCCGAGAGGCCAATATTCTAGAGTAAAGTTGGGGAAAGATGGGTGGACTCCTGCTGCGGGAGATGGCCCATGTGTGAAGGGAACAGGCGTCAGGATGGCATTCCAGTGTAGAGGAGAACACACAGTTTTGGTGATTTCGGCGATGACAGAAGACGCGGAGAGTTGCCTCCAGGCTTGTGGATGATCCTGCAAGACGGTGCCAGGAGAGCCTGACGCCGTAGCGACCTACAAACCGGTGTAGTCCAGGCTGGACATGTACACTGTGGAGTGGAACGATGGGGGTCGGTGGAAGGCTGGTTAAACCGCTTGGTTTTGACCACTACGACCCGGGTTCGATTCCCGAATTGGACACTTTTTTCTGTTAAAAAAAAAAAAATGCTCCAATGGCCCCCGATTCTTGCAAAAGTCCAACCCCACAAGCGAGTGCAAGTAACCAAACGGGGCTCTGGCACATTTGTAAGTGCAAAGTCGAACTGCTTTTCACATGTGTAAGACATGTGGTGCGCTTACAGTAAAAAGCAGTCGCTAACTACCCACCATGATTATCATGGCCTGTACCACGTGTACTAGGGATAAGCAAAAAAAAAAAAAAAAAAAAAATGTCTCAGAGGTAGTTGTGGTAGAGGTTTGCTTTGGCATAAGGGATATTTTCCTTGAATTCCGAGTTGTAAACTTTTTCTATTTTAGTGGCTATTAATAGCCATTCTGAGGGTTGTACGGAGTCTATGGTGGCTAAATAGGGTTTGATTTTTTTTCTTAGCACTTGATGTGGGGCCTCACTACATTCCCTTGACCATTAGTCTTCTTGAGTCCTCTTTATTTCTTCCAGCATGGTTTCCCCTCTCTGGTCTAGGTAGGGATGGTCGTCTCTGTTGTCTGGGTGGCTGACGCTGTTGTTGTGGCCTCCCCTGCCAATTCCAATGGAAAACTCCTCCCCTATAGTTCTGGCTATTGACTCCTCTGTAGCCTCCCCTGTAGTTGGAAGGTGATGGCCATCTTTTGGTCTGGTCTTCTAAGAGCCACGTTCTCCACTTCCAGAGCCTTCATCTTTTCCTCCAACTTAGCCAGTTTATTGGCCATGTCCCCAAGTTTCTGGCCACCTTAGTACAAATATTGAGATCTGATGTATTATTTGGAATATTTATGGTAATGTCCTCATAGTACAAATATTGAGGTCTGATGTATTATTTGGAATATTTATGGTAATGTCCTCATAGTACAAATATTGAGGTCTGATGCATTATTTGGAATATTTATGGTAATGTCTTCATAGTACAAATATTGAGGTCTGATGTATCATTTGGAATATTTATGGTAATGTCCTCATAGTACAAATATTGAGGTCTGATGTATCATTTGGAATATTTATGGTAATGTCCTCATAGTACAAATATTGAGATCTGATGTATTATTTGGAATATTTATGGTAATGTCCTCATAGTACAAATATTGATATCTGATGTATTATTTGGAATATTTATGACAATGACAATGAAAACGTCTTTATTGACATTTTAGTCAATAGTACACTCCGGAGAGTTAAGAAAGACTATTTACAAATTCCTCAGAGAGAGTCAGGATGACAAGGCGGCCCTGAGCCCGGATATTTTCTCGCAAAGAGAAGGATCCAGGTCCAGGGCGCGCTCTAAGAGAGCGCCAAGTTGTTGGGCTAGATTGGTTCTCTCCGTCAGCAGGAGTCGCGGGACGAAGTTCACCCTGTCCTTTAGATCTAGGGTCGCATCCACCAGATCGAGGTGGTCGATCCCTGAATGGGACACAGGCTTCAGGTCGAGTTCCTCCATGAATTTTCCGTAAAGAGCCTGCGACTTCCTGAAACGGGTTAGGTTCGGGGTATCCTCCACATGTGTAGACGGTGGAGGCGGAGATGTGGCCATGGCCGGTGACGATTCCATGTCCTGGGGAGCGGGTGGTGTTGGCTCAGCAGGCCGAGGCGCAGGCAGTGGAGGTGTAGGCACTGCGGCTGGTGTTGTCCTCAGCTCAGCCTTAACCTGTCCTAAAGTACCTATATGGGATTTAATCCAATAAAACTTAATTGATTCATTTTTTTGCTTGATATTAATTAAGAATTTAGTTCTCATTGTTGTCCAAGTCTTAGATGATGGGCTATTGAGGGCTAAAAGAGATGATGAACTATCGGAAGCAATATTTACAGAATTAAATTTATTATTATCGTCGAACCATTCTAGAGCCTTAAAGATTGCAATATTTTCTGCTTGGAAAACACTATTATAATAAAATAATATATAAGATTTTTCATATATAAAAATATTTTCATAGAATGCACACCATCCCACACCAACACCATTTTCAGATTTAGAACCGTCAGTATAAATTTATTTATCTTTTGGTTGGGCTATGGGAGTTGGTGTAATCGGTAGGTTGGAAGCTAAGGCTGCCCTATAGGACGGGCCGGGTGGTTGCAAAGTCTGTGTGCCGGTAGACGGCGTGCCAGTTGGCAAGTGTCCAGTTCCTGGTGGCGGTGTAGTTGTCAGAGGAAGGGGCCTCAGCCCGAAGCACTTCTGCGGCACCCCGATGGACGTTGTTGGCTGAGGTGTTGAACCCCAGGTCGCGGTTGACAGCAGCGCTGCCTCTCTTTGCCCCCGCTCCAGGGATGATATTCCCGTTCAGGGCATGCTGCTCGCGGTTGTGAGCTTCCGCGAGAGCACGAAGGACGAGGCAGGGTCTAGCTTGCGCAGGTCCTCACCCAAAGGACCTGTGCCCCGGTAAAATCCAGGAGAGGGGGAGTGCGCAGGGCCGTGGTCGGGGAGGTAAAGCCCACCGAGTGCCCGGATGTTGGGGGCATTGGGGGTATTGCGGAGGTCGTGGGAGTGGGCACCGATCCAGCAGATGGGGCAGACCTTCCTCCCCAAGATGATCCGGAGGAAGGGACCGGCATACTGGAGGGCGAGCGTGGTGGTCAACCAGTCTCTGGGCTGGGGGTTGTCTGCCCGTATGGTGGCGAAGAAGGCGGAGGTGAGGAAATGTTGCCTCAGAGCGTTCCGGCGGTGCCAGTCCGAATTGCCTGCGCGCTCGGGGGGGGGGTAGTCGCAGACGGGGAAGCGCTCGGTCCAGGTGCGGGCAAGGGCGGCACCCCAGTTGCTGTTAGAGGTGACCGCGGATCCGATGGCGGCGTCGGGGTTCCAGCGGACCTGCTCAAGGAAGGCGCGGGCCCGGTCAGCGACAGAACGGCGCGGAGGAGCAGGTTGAGGGACACGGGCGGGCCTGTAGATGGTGCGACCCTGCCGGTCAGCCCCTGTGGGAACGCGGCGCTGTGCGGCATCTGCGACGCGCTCCTCGTGAGCATGCTCCTCACGCTCGAGCTTGTATTATTTGGAATATTTATGGTAATGTTCTCATAGAACAGATATTGAGATCTGATGTATTATTTGGAATATTTATGGTAATGTCCTCATAGCACAAATATTGAGATCTGATGTTTTATTTGGAATATTTATGGTAATGTCCTCATAGTACAAACATTGAGATCTGATGTATTATTTGGAATATTTATGGTAATGTCCTCATAGTACAAATATTGAGATCTGATGTATTATTTGGAATATTTATGGTAATGTCCTCATAGTACAAATATTGAGATCTGATGTATTATTTGGAATATTTATGGTAATGTCCTCATAATACAAATATTGAGGTGTGATGTATTATTTGGAATATTTATGGTAATGTCCTCATAGTACAAATATTGAGGTCTGATGTATTATTTGGAATATTTATGGTAATGTCCTCATAGTACAAATATCAAGATCTGATGTATTATTTGGAATATTTATGGTAATGTCCTCATAGTACAAATATTTGATTTATAAATGCTACGTCACCCCCCTCTTTATTTCTATATTTTCTGATATTGTAGTTTTTATATTTGAGTTTGTATTTTTCATTTAATTTGGGGTTTACTTCAGGGCTATAATTTGTACCTTGTGTTTGTCAGCTATTTCCATTATTTCTTCTAATTTTATTTTTGTTGCCGTTGAACACATTCCATTTATGTTGCACTTCAAAATGCTTAATTGTTTAGAAGCTGCAAAGTGTTGTGTGGAGACTGTATTATACTTATCGGGCAGAACCCTCTACCAATTAATTGAAGGAAAGACTGTGAACACAGTGCTAAAATTTGAGATGAGGATGGTGTTGTCCTTTACATTTGACAAGCTTCTTATACACAAGGGGTTTGATTCATCTTGGGGCTTGTGCGAGGATTTCACGATGGGTTGAATGTTGAACATAGAACAAACCTGTCTGTGTGAAATGATGACAGAGCAGACAAGATCAGCGATGATATTTACATACATTTGTGGGAAATATTGGATGTAGGTTATAGCGTGCTGTTATGGACAAGGGACAAACATATACGCTGCGTGACATTGAAAATGGAACACCAAGAAATAGTGGCCAGAAAGTGATGAAACTCGGCAGACAGAGAGAGACAGGGACGAACAATAAGTGATCTTTATTTCAAAATGATAGTCATAATACAGAGCGAGAACGGCGTTTGCTTAGTAGCAAGTAGAACCACCGCGGACGGTGATGCATGCAGCAACACGTCTAGGTAGAGATTCAATCAGAGTACGGATGGCGTCCTGAGGGATGCCTCTCCATTCCCTCTCAACCATTTGCCACAGTTCGTCTTCTGAATGCGGCTGTGGCAAGGCATGCAAACGGCGTCCAATGATGTCCCAGACGTGCTCGATTGGTGAGAGATCAGGAGAGTACGGTGGCCAGGGAAGCATCTGTACATCTTGCAGAGCTTGTTGGCTAATGCGAGCAGTGTGCGTTCGGGCGTCCTCATAGTACAAATATTGAGATCTGATGTATTATTTGGAATATTTATGGTAATGTCCTCATAGTACAAATATTGAGGTGTGATGTATTTTTTGGAATATTTTTGGTAATGTCCTCGTAGTACAAATATTGAGATACTAGCCGAGTGACCCGGGCAACGCCCAGGGTTTACCCAAAGGGCCTGCAGAGACTTTAAAAGTATAGATGGTGGCTTAAAAATCGCAATGGGTATATTCCGATTTCCTAGAAGCAGCATTTCAAGTAAGGATAAGTAAAAATACTTTCTAAGTATAAATTCGTTAATTCGACCATGTTTTGATTTCCAGAACCTATGAAATTACAAACAGTAATTCGACAATGATTTGATTTCCCAATCTCTGGCCTATCAAATAACAAACGGTAATTCAACAATATTAATTATTCACCACTTCTGATAATTCAACCATTTTAAAATGCAAATTTCGACGATTGATGTTTACTTACAACTTTACTAATAAAAAGGTATTATAGATGCGAGCAACGAAACATTTTGAACCCATATAACACAAATTCATATCCTCACTTATAGGGTGTCAAGCCTAAAGGATGCAAATTCATGTCCCTGATTTCTAAAATTTAACATAAAATTGTAGGCTACCAACGCGAATTCGCGTCTACTGGGATCTTTTCCCATACCTTCTTGCCTATTTATCAGTGGGTTGGGTTCGGGGAAATGTCAGCTGTCCCAATGTACCTGTAAAATGTCACATGCGACCGAGTTCAAGCAGCCATTATTTTTATTTATTTCAAGCTATATAGATTACATTAAAAGAAAATAGCATTTTTTAAACATGTTTTTATATGAACAACTCGATTTTCATACGGCCCACTGGACCATGTAACTCTGGAATCATAAGTGCAAAAACAGACATCCCTAAAGGACTCCTTTAAAATATCTTCATGATTCTTTTTTAATAATATTCTTAAACATTTTTAATTTTTTTTCATATTTATTTACTTTTCAATATAGAAAATAAGATAACATAAAAGGGATAAATTCATTTAATGGACCTCACTAAAAACTGCATTTCTAGCCGAGTGACCCGGGCAAAGCTCCAGGTTTACCCTAAAGGCCTGTGAATGGGCAGGATAACCATATGTGTGCCATTGCAAAGATCCTAAATCAATGTATAGAGCACTGGGGAAAATAGGTAAAGACCAAAAGTCAAAATAATAATAAATAATTTTATTAATGAACAAATAATACAAAAAATTCCTTTCAGGTGAGAAACTATAGGCATTGGTGAAAACTTTAAACAATTATATTGAAAAAAAAAATAAAAGAAAACAAATCTTAAAAGATAATTCAATACAACACAACTATATAGCAAATATAGCCATAATTTCTAGCCGAGTGACCCGGCAACGCCCCGGGTTTACCCTAAAAACATGTGAAGCGCTAGATAACCATATGTGTGCCATTGCAAAGATCCTGAATCAATGTATAGGGCACTGGGGAAAATAGGTAAAGACTAAAAATCAAAATACTTAATTATAAATATTTTATTAGTGAACAAATAATACAAAAAAATCCTTTCAGGTGAGAAACTATAGGCATTGGTGAAACTTTAAACAAATTTATTGGAAATGAAACAAAAATTAAAAGAAAACAAATCTTAAAAGAAAATTAAATACAAAACAAAAATATAGCAAATTAGACAACATAAAAGGCATACATTCATTTATTTGAAATGAAAAAAAAAATAAAAAGAAAACAAATCTGAAAATAAAATTGAATACAACACAACTATATAGCAGATAAGACAACATAAAAAGGATTAATTCATTTAAAGGACCTCAATAAAAACTACATTTCTAGTTTTATAAATACGTGGGTTCAACTTTACCCGTATGCTATTCAAAGTTCGCACACGTGAAAAAGCCACATAGAGCTGTCCATGAGTAAACATGGGCTCTTGTAGCAAGAGACCCACTCTAGCAAAGGTTTGGCCTTGAGCCTTATTAATAGTCATGGCAAAAGCCAACCTTAGTGGAAACTGACGCCTCTTCAGAATGAAGGGAAGGTTGGTATCTGAAGGAGCCAAAGATATTTTTGGCACCAATACAGTGTGTCCAACTTTGGTCCCTGTCAGTATTTGTGCTTCTAGGACATGAGAGCGCATGCGCTGGATAACCATACGTGTGCCATTGCAGAGACCCTGCTTAGGATTCAAATTTCTAAGGAGCATAACAATAGCACCAATCTTAAGGTTTAACCGGTGTGGAGGCATTCCTGTGGGAGTAAGGCTATTAAGGAATTCAGTAGGGTAGTTATTTTGTTCCTCCACATTCTCACACTCGACACTGTCAACACTGAGAAAACACTGACTCCTGTTTGGTAAGCGATCCAAAACTTTTTCATTAATCTCTAATGAATCTGTGTTTTTTGGCGTTAAAATCACAGACTGGCTAAGGGCGGTAATATCACCATAGGAAGAACCAAATATTTCCTGCACCAGGTCAACCCCATGAAAGATACAGCTTTCTGGAAGAGAAATGAGGCCCTGTTGGTCTGTAGGTAGATCACCATCACCAACTTTAAGTAACCATTGAGAGAAGCTCTGTGCATCAATACCTGCTCGCATATTCTGAGTAAGGCGCAAGATCACAAACAATGGCCATAGCTTGCTTTGCTTAATGCAAGCAGCAACAATTTCAGCTCTTGAAGCTCGAGGTACCACAGGTAGCACTTGGCGAAAGTCACCTCCAAGAACAACAACCTTTCCGCCAAAAGCAAGGTCACAATGCATAATGTCCTTTAGGAGACGATCCACAATTTCAAGTGCTCTGTAGTGGGCCATAGGAGCCTCATCCCAAATAATTAAGGATGATCTACGAATAAGCTCAGCCTCAGAACTATTGGCCGAGATCGCAGCTTCAGAATTCTCAAGCAAGGGAATCGGCAGCTTAAACCTGGAATGGACAGTCTGGCCACCTGACAAAAGGGTAGCCGCTATTCCAGTGGAGGCCAGCGGAATGACAATTTTTCCAACGGCTCTAACACAATGAATTAGGGTGTTATAAACATAAGTCTTGCCCGTACCACCAGGCCCATCAATAAAAAAGCAACGTGGATTTACATTGAGGGAATCAACAATTGTGTCAACAATTGACTTTTGATCTGGTGTAAGGGACCTATACATTTGTGTCCCAATTTGCAGCTCTGCATTAACATCAAGGGGATCCTCTCCTGAATCAAGAAGTGGGGTTAGGGGTGCAGGAAGTCCATAATGGTGGCAACTGAGGCGATTTTCTCTCAGCTGGAATTCAAGCTCTCTGAGAGTCATCTGTTCAGCAGCTGCGTCAGATGTTGCACGAGAAAAGTCCTCACTAAGATACCCCTTGTATTTGGTCCACAGTGATACAGGGTCGGTTGGATTATTGTAGATGAGAATTGTTGCAAAGAGCTGCCGCAGTTGACAAGGCATTTGGAACAAAGCCGCCTCAGCCAAGCATGCATCCCATTCAGAATCATCAGCCAATAATCCACAGCGCTGGGCAGCCTCTTTAAAAGTGGAGCAAACAATATCATCCACAGTTCGCAAATCTTCAAAACTCTGAGCACCTGCAACATGTAATAGTAGAAGCCGGAGGTGGTAACGCTCAGAATCTTTAGGATTCACTGAACACCTACGTCCAATGCACAAAGCCCCACCCCGAACTCTAGCACTCCATTGATTCTGCCTGAAAACATAAGCGGAAGGTATGTCTCCATATAAAAGTGATCTTGCGGATACATTAACACAATTGAGCTGAAACCAGGCAGTCAGAGTTGTGCGTCTGCGTGAGGCATTTTCAAGAGCCTGTTCTTCACTACCTTCAACAAAAGCTAAGCGACATATGGTATGCGAGTGAGCATGCAAGCGATATTCAAACATTCGCCACATTGCCTCAGGAGCACTTACATACCGAGCGTCAAGAAAGTTTTTGATTTCATCATGTGCCCTGCTTTCCAAATCTAATTCTCCAACAGACACTTCCACCTCAGCCCTGTCGTGTCCCTTATATACATACTTGAAAAGATATTTGACACTTTTCACAGAGGCACAGACCTCCACATTAATGTGAGCATTGAACCTAACCAGCAGATAGGGGTTATAGGGAACAACCCAGCGGTTATCCACCTCGTGAGTGCCCACAACTAATGTCTGGCCGTCATCTCGACGTCTGTAGCGAGGATAGCCATTATTGTTAGCCTCAGTCAGCTGCAGGAATGATTTAGGGAAGTCTTTAATACACTTGCCATCAGACATGCATGGTGAGTGAAGATTGAAGTTTCCACAAGGACCATGGATCATATGTTTACGAACCATGTCATACAGCTGAACCTGCATAGTAGGGCTAGGAATTTCTGCACAAACCAATCTGTCAATGGCATCCCTGTCTCTTAGGGGAGATTCTAAATTTAACTTTGAAAGCCCTTTACTGGTAAACAACTTTGCTTAAAGTATGCTGTTCATACCATGTAAATAACTTTCATATTATGAAATTATGACACTGTGTCATAGTTTCCATATTAAAGTAAATTAAAAACTATTAACGTCATATTTTCTTCTAAGTAAATATATATCGTAATATATCCTGTCGACTTTCAATATATATCGTAATATATCCTGTCGACTTTCAATATAGCTGTGATATTATGCTATGCTGGGAAACCTTACTCTTGGGGTTGAAGATTGTTGAAGTGATGGCGCAGTCGTGATGGCTGAGTAAGAAAGGATTACACACAAGGGAAATAAGCCAGGACACTTGATGGGGTTTGAAAATAAAAGGCAACTGGTTTGGAGGAAAGAAAGCTTGAGAAAACGGAGCGATTTTTGACTATTACTATCGGATCACATGGTGATGACCGACTTGACTATGGGATGAATTGAGAGAGAGATCTCTAGAGCAGATGTTACCTTGGTGAGAGCAAGTCGAAGGCTGATCCGAACTCGGTGGGAGCGGAGCCACTACTCTAGGTGTTGTTCCGATGGGAGCGAAAGCACTACTCTATTCTTGCTTCTCGATTTAACACCAAGACTTATCTTCTTTCCCATTGGTCGAAAGATGTCACATGACCGTTTTCTATTGGTTGACCTATTTAGGTGATACTTTCTAATTGGCCCTTACCAATCTCTTTGGCGGAAGATATATCCGGCCTTGCCCAGGAAATACTGGTCGTTAAACTTAGCTTTTATGGTTTCCGGGGTCAGAAGGTTGACTGTGACTTTATTAATAGCTGTGTTCTCTTCTAAGCCTACTTCCTAGGTTTTTCTCTAAGGCGTTCTATCCTCCAGTTACCTTTGTTCTTTTATTAAATCTTTTTAAAACATACATTGTACATACATAGTAGGTCGGAGGTGCATACAGTTATATACAAATTATGACATATATTTTAAAACATCTAAATGATACAAACAGAAAAGAATTTAAATAAAATATTGTATATAATAAATGTATGAAACAGGTTTATTATTAGTGTATTTTCAATAATATTTGAAAATATAAACGTGTATTTTCTGTTAAAAAGATAGAAATGGTAATTAAATTTAATTATTGTGTTGAACCACTTGGCTGAGGTTCATAATTGTACGTTACATTCTTAAGAATTATAAAACACAGCATTAAATATGTCAATCGACGAAGCTATAATATTGTAAATAAAAATAACGGTTGTTATATTTACCTAACTCCCATTTATCATAATACCGTAAATCAAATTATGAAGTATTAAAAATAAATGTTTATTAAAACAAACAAAAAATTAAGCTTAGACTTACCAAAAAAAGTTTTAGAAGCAGCGTTAGATTTGTTTACTTACTACAGAGTGGATATTGGATAATTATTATCATTTTAAATGATTTAAAACACTGAAAAAAATATTTTATCAGTCTCATATTCCTAGGTATTGATTGTTCTTAATCTCAGGGTCATGTGCTACTTGACGTTTCACTATGTATATATTTTTAAATATAATAATAGAAGAAAATTATATACATAATCCGAGCCCCGCGGCGGGCGACATTGTTGGGACGAGTTTTTATCTATTTTATTGCCCGGCTGTCCCCCTTTTTTTTAGACTGCAGAAAGCCAACCTTTGAAGCTAATTGTCACGATATTTATTACATTTTGTACCCATTAGGTGTCAAGGTTGTGCATTGAATAGGCTAGCATTTATTTCATCTGACAAAATTTATTAACAAAATTGATGTAAGAAAAAAAAAAGGGGGAATAATATTGAAATATATATATATTCAATAAAAAAAAAATATAGATATATATTCATACATAAAACCTATGATGGGCTATTTCTTGTGGTTAAACAAATTATAAATGCAATAGAAAGAATGACTTACTGTAGGGGGAAAAACCACCGACCAAAAAAAAAAAGATGGCCTGCGGTACGGTCAGCTGCCTCGTTCCTCTTTTTAAATTTTTGGCACCATCTACCGTTCAAAACATGCTGCCCCCTATGAGCGAACTCTGAGAGCCTTTTAATAAAATTTAAAAAAAAAATGCTTAATATTATTACGGTTTTACAATGAATATATATTACGTTCATTTTTTTTTTTTAACTCTAAATATTTAATAAAAAAAAAACAAACAAAGAGCAAAAGACAATTTCATGCCTGTCTCCATGGGTGATGGGATCTTGGTCCTCTTCTCAGTTGAAGGCCGAGGTTGTTGGTGGTGGTAGGGGGGCCCACAGGCTTATCCATTGCCTGGTCATCTCCAGGCTGCTGAGCGGGTCGGCCTCCATCGCTGAGGGACTCTTGGCATCTCACTGAGAGACTTTTGGCATCGGGGTGTAGCAGGTCACATGGGGAGTTTAGACCGTAGGAAGGCCAGGGAGGTCTATAGGCCTTTTAAAATCTTCCTTCAGCCACACTTTCCAGCTCCCACACCAGGCTTGGTGTAGTTCCTCACACACACTTTCTGGTTAGTGGTGAGCTCCAGTAGCATGCTACCTCCTTGAAGGTGTCCATGGGGTTCTGGACCTGGAGTAGGGTTGCCTTGTAGTCTAGACTGCATGCTACAGTAGTCAGTTGGCTGTCAGAATTGGTCCTCAGGGACTCATGCCTCCCCTGCCACAACACTCTCACATACAGGTGAGCTCCACTTTTTCTTTTTATTATTATTATTAACATTGTTCCCCCTACAGCAGACATCCCTTCATTCCATTTAAATTTATCTAGACCACCAGCTAAGCCATTTGCAATCAATTACAATATATTTGTCTTCCGCATCCTCAACACCATTATCACTCCTGAATTTTTTAATCCTTTTATTGGTGGTGTTCTCTATATATTCTATAAATTCTTTAAGTATTTCTTGAGTTTCTGATTTTGCTTTTAAGAATCGAGTGAATAATTTCCTTGAATAGTCATCTATAGTAAGAATAAATCTTGCTTTTCCAATAGATTCTTCTTTTATGGGCCCAATTAAATCAATATGCAAAAGTTCTAATGATTTTGAGGTTTGAATTTTTTCAATTATTTTTAAAAGGTTTTCTTGAGTATTTAGATTTAATACATGTAATGCAATCATTTAAGTCTTCTTTAGATATGCAAGCTAGGAAGGTGCTGAGGACCAGAGATCTCTTCAAACAAAAATGGTTTTGGCGTCGTGGAAGGTGGAGAAACACTCACCCAAGTAAGGTCAGCAACATTCACTTCATCTTCTTGAAAATAATAAATTTTGGTGTCCGAAGAACTGCTTGATTCTAAATCTGAATCCAGATCATAAACCTCAGTACAGGAGTCACTCTCTGAGGACATTTTACTAAAAAAATATTGGTTACAAAAAGAACCAGAAAAATCTAGTAATCGACTGGACAGGAAGGAGAAATGTTTAGCTGTAATATGACTTAACGTGAGGCATGATATGGGGAGCGGAAGTGGAGGGGGGAGATCATGTGACGTCGGCCGACTGGCACTGGCTGACTCAAGGTCATTGACGACCGATCGGCCGGCTGGCGCCTAAAGGGTTAAGCACGCTTTTATTTTCACAAGCAGTGGTAAAATGTGCACCTGCACAATTGGCGCACTTGGGTGCTTTGGTGCACTTTTAACCATCAGTGTGCGTCGTTTGAGAGAGGCTACCACAGATACCACATGGGAAGACTCGTTTCGCCCAGGCGCGCCTGAGGGACAGGAAGTCAACAGTGACGCGACCGCGTGCAAGGAGAGCTTCCTCGATACCCTTAGTGACCTCTATGATAGCGGTGGAAGGCGAACCTTCCTTCCTAATCAATTTAACCAGCTTCAAGCTGCCGCTGTTATTAATTAACTGCGGGGCTATCGGTGTACAGTTGTGGGTTGGTTGTACCTAAGTTGGATGGTAGAAGTATCTGGTTGGGGGATCATTTTAACAGGGTTAGGAGGAGAGGGGGAGGCTTGGCCAACCTTTTCCTAAGTTGGGTGACCTCATTTTCAACTATTTTTACATTTTTTTTTTTAAGATTCTTAACACATCAGTTTGCAAAGCATTAAAAATATGTCTTACATCGTCTTTCACTGAGTCAGATAACCCAGTGGGGGTGGTAGCAGGAAGGTTAGAGGCAGCGATATCCGCTACCTCGTGAAAATTTTTGTTGAAAAGAGAATCTATCTCTTCCCAGCAGTCAGAGGATCCAGAATGGGTACAGGAAGGAATGGAAGCAGGGGCCTGGGGAATCTTACCTTGGGCAGTCCTATTAATAGGAGCGGAGACCTCTTCGGCCACGGTCCCAGGACTTGTGGAGGTCTCCAAAGGTGGGAATAGGTCGTCAACTGACCTGGCCCGCGTCTGCAAGCGGGTTTAGACCATCTTGTCTCCTCGTGGTTTTTATGGTATTCTTTTATAGTTATTGTGTTTATTTATTCGTTGTCTTCCTCGTAGGTCGTGATCTGGCCATCATAATACTAATTAATAATTAAGGTTAGTGAGAGAGAAAATGGCTCCGACGACCCAGCTGGTGCTGTTGTGGATTAGACGTCAATACTTGTGACTTCTCGCCTTTCCCCTTATACGTTACTTTCCAGGTTGCTTTTTCCAATTCATAAGGAACTCCAATTCTGAGTTCGATATTAGATACTGATTTATCTGAATTGATTTCTATGCGGTTAATGTTCATCAGATTATTTGTATTACATTCTACTTGTTTCTTAATTTGATTTATTTCTTGGTGCATTTTACGATTATAATAATAAATGCTGAATGCCTGAGCAGTTAGAACGCTACCACCTATGAGCCATCTAGACCTTGATGCAAGAATTCTTAGCATATTTATTCCAAACGTCATTTTGACAAGAATGAAGTTGTAGATGATGTATTATTGGAATATTTATGGTAATGTCCTCATAGTACAAATATTGATATCTGATGTATTATTTGGAATATTTATGGTAATGTCCTCATAGTACAAATATTGATATCTGATGTATTATTTGGAATATTTATGGTAATGTCCTCATAGTACAAATATGTTCTATAATATGTTCTCTTTTGAAATCTTCTTCGATATTTAGTTTTTTAATTGTGGGAGACCTACCTTTGGGGAGAGAGACTTTAGGAATTAACTTAGATTTAAGATGCTCATTTTCGTTTATAAAATTTATGATTGTGTTTGCATTTTCTATTGTGGGAACTTCTATTGTACAGCGTTTTTTTAATTAGGAATAGCGTTGGCTCTAACAATTTTTAAATTAGTCAAAGAAATATTTTTCTTAAGGAATTGAACAATATTAGTGTTTTCAGGGAGTTTAGATTCGATTAATATTTTTCCTATTAATTTGGGAGAACTTTTTGGTTGGGCTATGGGAGTTGGTGTAATCGGTAGGTTGGAAGCTAAGGCTGCACTATAGCTTTTCTCGCTTTTTTCGAAGTAATTTTTTACTTTTTCATCCAGATTATTATTATTTTCAGTAATTAATTCTTTCGTAGTATTCATGATTGTTTCAAGTTTTTGTTCAAAGTTGTTTTTCAAATTTAAAATAGAATTTTCTTGTGATTTGATTATCGAATCATATTTCAAATTAATATTTACAATATTTATTTGATCAGGAAGTATTTTAATAATAAAAATAGGGACAGATGGAAAAATTTGGCTTGTAAGAGACAAAGCCAGGAACGATATAGGCTAACAAGCCCTTGCGTCCCCTGTTCTCTGCTTCTAGAATTTCAATATTTATTTTTTTGAATAAAATCAGCGAGAAAAGAAGACCCTTAAATCAAGCTCTGCATAGAAACAACAAAGTGTAGATTAGGGTTGCCTCAGAGATGGTTTCTTTATTATTTCTAAATACAATACATTAGATTATATAATTAATATTTACATGCAATAAGATACTATATATAGTTAAAGAAAGAAGAGAAAAATAAAATAAATAAAGTAGAAGAAGGAAATTTAATTATTAGTATTAAAATATTATATAAAAAAAAAAAAAGATAGAAAGAATTTTTTTTTTTTAAATAAAATCTATATATAATAAAGAATATAAATTTTTATAGAGGATAAATATGAGGATAAATATGAGATAAATATGACCTGTAAGAAAATAATTTAAATAACCATTACCTGATATTCTTTTATTATTTACAAAACTTAACCATTTGTAAAGATACCTACCATTAATTGATTGATCCCAAAGAATTTGCCATAAATTAAGAATTTCTTTTTTAGCTTAATAATTATGATTAAGAATTTAGTTCTCATTGTTGTCCAAGTCTAAGATTATGGGCTATTGAGGGCTAAAAGATATGATAAACTATCGGAAGCAATATTTACAGAATTAAATTTATTATTATCGTCGAACCATTCTAGAGCCTTAAAGATTGCAATATTTTCTGCTTGGAAACACTATTATAATAAAATAATATACAAGATTTTTCATATATAAAAATATTTTCATAGAATGCACACCATCCCACACCAACACCATTTTCAGATTTAGAACCGTCAGTATAAATTTATTTATCAGGATATTATGGTAATATCCTCATAGTACAAATATTGAGGTCTGATGTATTATTTGGAATATTTATGGTAATGTCCTCGTAGTACAAATATTGAGATCTGATGTATTATTTGGAATCCGGGTTGAAACATTCTGTCGAGGATGGTGGCCAGTTGGATTAGATGTGTTCTGAAGAAGGCTTGTACCGGGTTGTTGACAGTTCCGCTCTCTTTCTTTCTGCTTGTTGTTGCTCATCCTGTCGACTCCTCTGAGAGAAAGTGTAAGAAAATCAGAGGTTGGATCTCAGAAAGTATCGTTTAATTATCAAATAGATTATATTAAGATGACAAAGGAACATAGAGAGTTAAAAAGAAGGTAAGCCCAGTGGGAGTCAACAAGCAAATCTGTAATATTATACAGGTATCGGCCGGCGCCAGGTCACGTGATGTCTGGGGGAAGCTGGGTTGTTGCTAAGCGAGTCACTTTCCAATACTCCCACCTGACGAGCACTTTGTTGTTTCAAACAGTCCAAGTTGGCTTCTTAGTCTTCTATACTTTTCTGGAGGTAAAGCTTTCGTAAATATGTCTGCAGCTTGATCATTGGAGCAGACATAAAGAAGGTCAATTGCATGTTTTTGAAAATGATCTCTGATAAAGTGATACGAAATATCAATATGTTTAGTTCTTTTGTGGTATTCTGGGTTGTGAACAAGTCTTATGCAGCTTTGATTGTTGCAAAAAATTGTTGTAGGCTTTACTTGTTCTTGATGTAGCTCGTGTAGAAGTTGTCTCAGCCAAATTGCTTCTTTTGTTGCTTTGGAAGCCGCAATATATTCAGATTCTGTTGTTGACAGAGACACACAATTCTGTTTTTGACTGCACCAAGAAATAGGTCCATTATTCAACATGAACACATATCCGGTGGTTGATTTTCTTGTGTCCAGGTCTCCAGCAAAATCAGCATCGGAAAAACCTATCAGAGATGTAGTGCAGGAACTCCCACCAAAACAAATACCGATGTTTTTCGTAGCTTTTAAGTATCCAAATATTTTCTTTACTGCGGTCCAATGTGAAGGTCCTGGGTTGTTCATAAATTGGCTAACCCTGCTGACTGCGTAGGCAATATCAGGTCTAGTTCCAGTCATGAGGTACATTAAACTACCAATAGTCTGTCTGTATGGAATCTTGTTCATTTCTTCAATTTCCTGATCATCCTTTGGGCACATCTCTTTTGTTAGTTTTGAGTAAGGATCAGAAGGTACAGATTGTAACTTAATTTCAAGAAGGTTGTAATGTTCAAGTGTTCTTTCAATGTATGAGGCTTGATGCAGAAATAACATTTTAGTTGTTCTATCTCGATATATTTGTAGGCCAAGGAAATAATCGGCAGTAAAAGTTTTTATTTCAAAATTGGAATTTAAGTACTGTACTATATCATCTAAATGTTGTTTATTTACACTGCAGATTAAGCAATCATCTACATATATTGCAAGTAATATGTAAGCCTGTTTACATTTCATTGTATAGACACATGAATCTGATATGCTAGGTTTCAGATCAAACTTAATTAAAAACTCATGAAATTTCTTGTTCCACATTCTGGGGGATTGCTTAAGACCATAGATGCTTTTCTGAAGAGAGCAAACATGATTTGGAAAATATTTGATACCAACCACGCTCTGCTACCGTGTAAGAAAATCAGAGGTTGGATCTCAGAAAGTATCGTTTAATTATCAAATAGATTATATTAAGATGACAAAGGAACATAGAGAGTTTCAACTTTTCTTATTTTTAATTTTCCTTCATATGATATACCGCATGCCACCATAAATCCTTTGGGGTAACTTTCGGCACATTCCTTCATCCAAATTGGCCTAGATTTTTCCACCCTTTTTTGATAGTATATAGCTATTTTTCTGTCGCAATCGGTTAAATATACCCATGCTTCGTCATATGCAACAATAAATTTCCATCTATCAGCAGCAAGAAATTTTCATAAAAATATCTGCTGATAGTGTGTCGCTGACGAATATGGCTCTGAAACAATTTGTGAACAGCACGTTTTTTTTTTAGCTTTTAGGCCTAAATCTTTATTATTTTATTTATTGTTGACACTGATAATCAGGGTGATAATCTTTTGTCCATTTCTCCGTAGGTGCTTTGAATAAAAACTTGATATTTTGGTCATTAATAATATTATAAATACCTTTTTTATAGAAATGTTGATATAATCTTTTTTGCATATTTTAATTATGTCCAAATAAGTAAGATTAGCTCTGGAAAGTCCTAAAATATAACCTCTTATGAAATTATTGTATTTGAAGGGTATTTTTTTTTTTTAAATAACAAAATATATGTAATGCGCGTTAGAATTAGCTTAAGCCTTTTTGAATTCCACGTTGTTGATTTTTTAAAATAAAGTAATAGTTCATTTTTTACACCGGGCGCTCGTTTCCTATAAGTGTGAACACCCTCTGTATATGGGCGCCAAGGAGATGTTTCGTGGTGAAATTGGAAATGTACAACTCCTGAAACATATCTAGTTTTATTATTAGATAGTATCATCCTGTAAGTTACATTCAAAAAAATGTATACAATATAGCAATGATTCATAGTGAAGATAGTAAAAAAAAAAACACACACACAAAGGATAAGTATGAGTATAATAACTGTTACATAAAAGGATAGAATTGGTCTTATTTGGTGAAAGGAAGTGTATCTTTATGTTGCTGAGACCATCATTAGGGATGCAGTGAGCCATTCTCTAACAACAGTAGGAAACAACGTCCTTCAGAGACAAGCTGCTTGTTGAACAGCTGTAGCCATTCTTGAAAGATGCTAGAGGTCATCCATGCTTTGCTGTTAGATGTGTATGTGCAGTAGAAGTGTGGACTAAAGTTTCTGAAGCATCGAGGCTTTGCTGATTTTCCAATAATCAGCAATTGCCGCTTGTCATTTCCAGTAGAGTTGCAGCACAGGAGAACAGTGATTCGTTGCTTCATCCTTTTGACACCCTGGAGGGATCCAAGGCGAGAGCAGGGAGGCAGAGATGTTGCCAGGGCGAAGGCTAGCTGGATGATCATCCCTTTGTCAAGGCATTACATTTTGTATAAACAAAACTCAACGCTGCATAGTCTCATATTAAAATTAAAATAGTTTTAAAAAAAAATAAAGGAGGTGGGTGATTAATACAACTTTAATATATATATTTTTTATAGTTGAGGTTTCTATTTTGTCAGTTTAATGAAGCATTTGAAGCCATTTAGGGGCATATGCAAAATGTTCATTAATGTTTGAAGACATTTAAAAAAAAATTATTAATTTAAAGAAAAAGAAAAAGTAAATTTACATTTTGTAAATTTACTGGTAAAATTTTTAAAAAATCAATCATATCACTTTGTATTTGAGTACATAATTTTCTTCGTGAATCAACTTTCAAATTTTTCGAATTTATAAATGTCGCCATATTATCCAATAGGCCTAATGAAAAGTATATTTATAAATAATAATTTAAAATGATTATTATTATCATTAAAAATATTTATAGTAGATGAAAGTAAATTAAAAATTATTTGTATTAAAAGTATTTAAGTTATAAATAAATCAAAATAAATCGTTAAAAGAATATTCTTTTGCAGAGCGATTTTTGAGTTGTTGCCACACGCGTTCCACAGCACAGGGTTGCCGGAAGAAGTGTTCCGCTGGATAAGTCCCGTTGTAAAGTGCCATAGGGGAGGCATAGGCACGTGGTGCCGTCGCTTCTTGGAGGGCCTCAGTCAGTAGGTCTACCAAGGTGTCCAAGCTGGGCCGGATGAAAGTTGTGGACTGGATAGATCCCTGAATTCTTGTTACCCTTTCATATCACTCGGTTAGGACACTATGGCCGACTGTCTGCTGTTAAAACCTGACTGATGTCCGGGATGCCCCTGTCACTCCTGGTCTGGACCTGGGGGACCAATCAATTATGTCGCAGCAAAATGGCTGGCAGGTTTGGATTGGGAACAATATTTTAAGCTGTGTACCGTTTGTACCGTTGTCACCATCCAAAGAGAAAGTCTTGCAGTTTGCTACTTTGTCACATGCCCCTAGAAGGCAGCAATGGGTGTGCTATCGCGCGCCGGTTTATGGACCTTTGAGGTCTGGGAAACCATTATTGCTCCAAGGATGTCACATGACCTTGAGCAATCTCTTCTTGGGCTTCAGGGTCATGGTAGAGCTTCATCCCACTTTTTGCATTGCACCACATGCTGAAAATCTTTGAGCCAACACTGTGAATCTTACCCACATTCTCCTGAGAAGACAGTAGGATCTCTCCACCTATGGCATAATGGTCGATTTTCTGGTGTTTCTCTCTGACCCTGGGCAATCTCTTCTTGGGCTTCGGGATTGTGGTAGAGCTTCATCCCACTTGTTGCATCACACCACACACTGAAAATCTTTGAGCCAATGCTGTGAATCTTCCCGACATTCTCCAGAGAAGACAGTAGGATCTCTCCACCGATGGCAAAATGGTCGATTTTCTGGTGTTTCTTCTCTCTCCATGTTGTGCCTCTCTGTAATCCTCCTCCCTTTGCCCTAGCCACTGTAGTTTGCTGACTAGGGTCTCCCATGGTTCGCCTTGGTAGAGGTGAGCCTTTTCCCACAGGCTGGGGCAGAGTCCGTTGATGAAGACCTCCGCGACCTCCGAGATGCCTATCTTCAGGCCATCCGACTCTGCTCCCGCCGCAAGGTCGCTCACCCGTGCGGCAAAGTCTCGGACTTTCTCCCCGGCTCCCTGTCTACAGGAGAAGAACTGACTCCTCATCTCCCTTGTGGAGACTTCCGGAATCGCCTTTCAAGGCTCTCCTTTAGTTCTTTATATCCTAGACGGATTTGTTTGGATTGGAAGGCAAACTACCTTGCAGTAAAGGGGACTATGCCCTTCCCTTTGAATTTTTCTAAGTTGTACAGCATGGAGGGCAGCTGGGCTTGGCTAGCTGTGGCGTTCTCTCTTTCGGCAGGCATGATCAACTGTTGAATCTACAGGAACTAGGTATTAGCTTCCATCCTGACTGTAACAATAATATCTAGGACCCATAGAGGTGGGCAAAGTGGGGAATATGAAGTGGAAGGAGAGAAGAGAGACTTTCTTTATCCATGTTCCTAAAAAAAAAAAAAATGAAATGTTCGCACTTCAAGTGAGGATCCATTAGTTTAACATGGTAAACATGGTCCATCAATAAAGTCGGACAACATTATGTCGAGTTTCGACAGTTAAGACAGGCTAGACTACAGCATGTGGCTGCTAAGTAATCGCAACAAATGGACTACAGCATGAAGCTGCTAAGTAATCGCAACAAATGGACTATAGCATGAGGTTGCTAGGTAGTCACAACAATGGACTATAGCATGAGGTTGCTAGGTAATCAACATAATGGATTACAGCATGAGGTTGCTAGGTAATCACAACAGTGGACTACCGCATGAGTTTGCTATGTAATCACAACAATGGACTATAGCATGAGGTTGCTAGGTAATCAACATAATGGATTACAGCATGAGGTTGCTAGGTAGTCACAACAATGGACTATAGCATGAGGTTGCTAGATAATCAACACAACGGATTACAGCATGAGGTTGCTAGGTAATCACAACAGTGGACTACCGCATGAGGTTGCTAGGTAGTCACAACAATGGACTATAGCATGAGTAGCTAGATAATTAACACAACGGATTACAGCATGAGGTTGCTAGGTAGTCACAACAATGGACTACCGCATGAGGTTGCTATGTAATCACAACAATGGATTATAGCATGAGTTGCTAGATAATCAACACAACGGATTACAGCATGAGGTTGCTAGGTAATCACAACAATGGACTACCGCATGAGGTTGCTATGTAATCACAACAATGGATTACCGCATGAGTTTGCTATGTAATCACAACAATGAATTATAGCATGAGGTTGCTAGGTAGTCACAACAATGGACTATAGCATGAGGTTGCTAGGTAATCAACATAATGGTTTACAGCATGAGGTTGCTATGTAATCACAACAATGAACTATAGCATGAGGTTGCTAGGTAATCAACATAATGGATTACAGCATGAGGTTGCTAGGTAGTCACAACAATGGACTATAGCATGAGGTTGCTAGGTAATCAACATAATGGTTTACAGCATGAGGTTGCTATGTAATCACAACAATGAACTATAGCATGAGGTTGCTAGGTAATCAACATAATGGATTACAGCATGAGGTTGCTAGGTAGTCACAACAATGGACTATAGCATGAGGTTGCTAGGTAATCACAACAGTGGACTACCGCATGAGGTTGCTATGTAATCACAACAATGGACTACCGCATGAGGTTGCTATGCTAGTATATTTATTTTTGATAGTTGAGGTTTCTTTTTTGTCAGTTTAATGAAGCATTTGAGGCTATTTAGGGGCATATGCAAAATGTTCATTAATGTTTGAAAGACATTTTTTAAAAATATTTTTAATTTAAAGAAAAAGTGTAGAGATTAGAATGAAAAGTCTTGAATTTAGAATTTATGCCTATATTATTCAATAGGTATTTTCTGATTGATTGTATATTAAAGTGGTGTATTTTTCTGTACCCATTGTTCAAGAAATCTTTTTTTAATATATTGATGGCTTGTATAAAATTGTTCTTAGTGTTATTATATGTTCAAAATAAGCATATTGTGCTGACTAGCTGGATGAATTCTTTTGTTAAAGTTGTGATTTGTGAAGCAGTCGTAGTAATTGTGTGAGGTAAGGACACACAGGATCCAGTGGCAAAAACCCGTGGGGATTCGATCTGGGAGGAAATATAGGTCTGAGGACCACTTTGGAAACAACTGGTGTTGAGACCACCTCGGTGCGACGAGGAAAGTTTGGGACATCGCTGTTGGTCTGGTGGTAGCTTGCTCTCTAGGACAGATTTGTGCATCCTGGAGAGATGACTTCTCAGGGGTAGGAGAGCATTGTCGGCTACAAATGACTGCCATCCCTTATTCATGATATTTACAGTGATTACAGGTAAGCTGGCTAGTAATCCTCCCCCTGCTTTGAGGCATGCAGGACCTAGTTTTTTTGTGGGGGGTTGCTGTCAGTCACGGGAAAAGTGTTCTGGATCGCCGCACCTGTAGCACTTGAAGGGGGGTCTGGTAGCCTCTGTCCTACCAGTGGCGTAGTCCTTGACTCCTTTGTCTTGTGCATCCTGACTAGTGTTCTCCATCTGGTTCTTGGAAAGCCGTTGTTGCGGCCTTTCTCTGTTGTTGTTCTGTTGGGGTCTTCGTAGCTCATTCCTGGCCATGTTACCTCAATTGTGTAGGAATCGAGAGCATTTCATATATTTTTTTAGGTATAATGGAAGAAGAAAATTATAAACATAATTATGCCTTGCTTTGGGCGCCATTGTTAAAATAAGTGTAGATTTTTATACTTTTACTAACTATTTCCTGATCTCTACATGTCCAAATATTAGGGCGCCAGTGGCTGCAGAAAAGCAGACCACAAATTTATGGCCGGCACATGCAGAGACCTAAAGCTGTGCCGGCTAGCAATTAATGTTAAAAGGGAAATTAACCAATCAATTTTTTGGTTAGACAAATTTTTATTTAGACTAATAAAATCTTTCAATGTACATCACACAGATATATATAAGATTTCATGGAAAAGGATAAAAAAAAAACTATATAAGTTTAAAATTGGGAGGAGTTTAATATACAAATAAATGTAAACACACAAAAAAAGGCCTATTGTGCCATTATCCCCAGATTATCCCCTCCTACATTCAGCCACCCATGTCCACGATTCGAAAAGGGGCAGGCCGCAGCTAGCGGCCTGAGCCCCCCGCAACTCCAAGTCTTTTTTGCTTCTCAGGAAAAAAAAATCGAATTCTTGTTAAGAAAAAAAAAGTCAATATTCCTGTTGGATCCTGTGATATAATTTTGGAAGTCGGATTTTTCTTTAAATTAAATTTTGTATTAAGCAATTTTTTAATTTTTATTCTTATATGTAAATAATTGTAAATCCTTTAAAATTTCAATTTTTGTATATTGTTGATGATTCAGTAAGATATGTAAATTTCTATCAGGAAAAGAAAAGACTCAATTTAGATAACTAATGTAGTAGCTACTCCTAACTCTGAAACTCAAATAAATCAAATAATTCAAGGCAAGTGGTAAAATGCTTCTTTATATCATTTAATAAACATTCAAGCCACAACAATTCCAATGTCAATATCCAAGGATGTAAATATCAAAATTGTCCCCTCTCCAAGAATGTAAATATCCCGCTTCCTTTTCCCAGTGTTGCTGAACTCACCCCCCAAGGCTATCATCCCTCTTCTCTCTATGAAAATAAAATAAAATAAAAATACAAAAATATTGAATTAAAAAATAATTAATATTGTAGGATCTGGGCATCTTGGGGTCAGCTTGGGAAAGGTTCAGGGCTCGTGGTGGAGCTGGTGCTCTGCAGGAAGATGGTGGAGTCAGGTCAAGCACCTTAGGTCGGTGGCTTGACTACAGGGAAGGGGTGTCTGAGTCCATCTTGGACTGGCTTGTGGTCAAGTCAGCCACCATCGGACATGTGGCTCGACCACCAGGAAGGGGTGTCTGAGTCCATCTCAGACTAGCTTGATGTTGGTGGGGCCAGGTCATCCACCACAGGTCAGGTGACTTGACCACCAGGAAGGGGTGTCTGAGTCCATCTCAGACTATCCTGGTGTTGGTGGGGCCAGGTCATCCACCACAGGTCAGGTGGCTTGACTACAGGAAGGGGATCTCGGTCTCTGGCTCGGTGCTGCCAAGGCTAAAGGTGGCTTTAGGCTCCATCTCGAAACCTCGCAATCACCAGAGGTTTGTAACTTAGATGGACATAGGTGGGATATGGTTAGGTTAGGTGGGGTTCTGGGTTACTTTGGCATATTATGGTCATGAGGTGTCCCAACAATTGTAGTTCCTCCTGTAATTCGGCGTGTTGGGCCATCTCTCGTAGTTGTTTTCCACTGCATTATTTTCTCTTCCTCACTTCAGAGCCAAATTATTTATATCGAGGGCACTCAGCTTCCATCCTTGCCATCTGGGCCGTCAATTCACCTAGCTCCTGGCCGTTTCTATCTTGACTGGTACTCCTTCTTTTTGATTATTAATTTTGATATAATTGAAGTTCAAGAAAGTATCTAAAAGTCATTTTGCTTAATCATAATTAACAAATGGTTTTGTAAACATTGTGATTTAAAGATACAGTAGAACTCCTCAAATTCGGAAAGCTTGGGGCGCAAGGTATTCCGAATTTGAGAGAGTTAGATTTGTGAATATTTATGTGGCATAAATAGGCATTTAGATGACTGAGACAAAGATTTTGAAGCATATGAACAATTTTAGGTTGAATATTATATGTACATTACATAATTTTAATTACGATTTTTAATCAAATGTTCCTTGACTTTTATGAGTTTTGAGCATGAAACCGATGAAAAATAGTAAAATATTTTATGTATGTAATGCAATTGATGGCCAAGTAAGTTATGGCTTGGCAAAGAAGTTGCTGATTGTTGTCTGTTTCTTTGGCTTGTTTAACAAAGCTTCTTCTTCTCTCATAAGCATAGTTCGAAGACTATTGATGGTGTTGTAGCTTGCAAGCATTTCTGGTTCAGTGCGCTTTTCCAAATATTTTAATGCAACATCCAAACTTTTCAACGCTTCGCATCTGGGAACATTTTCGTATAACGGATTTTTTACTTGAGAAAACTTTTTGACATCTTTTTCGGTAGAATCAACAAACTTTGTAAGTTTAAGCTCAGACTTTTTTATATCATAAACAGTTGTCTTAGAAATTTTATACTTTTGCATTATCGTTGTATAGCTTAATCCTTTTTTAATGTCACTAAGAACATCTAACTTTTCACCAAGCTTAAGAATTTGGTACTTGCCTCGTTTTTGCCGCTCCTCTTTGGATGCCATTTTGTTGAAGAACAAACTTGTAAATGCAAAAAATTGAGAGTTGAATAAAAGAATTTGAAACTTACAATGTCTGAAAATGTTTGATAATTTGAACTTTAGGTGAATCAACTTTGCAATAAAAAATGCGTGAATGGCTTATGACGTAATAATGCTGCCTTCTTATTGGACAATATCCTAAACTAAGCACAAAGGTCAAATGAAACTGTTGATTTATTTGAGCTTTTAAAAAAGGGGATAAACCCCTAAAAGTACCCCGGTAAAAGTAAATTAATTAAACACTTAAATTAAAAATAAATTACTAATAAAATTAAATAAAATAAAAGCAAAAGTAAATAAAATAAAATAATGTTGAAATATCAACAAAATAAAAGCATGTGAAAATTGATTTTTTTGTATGTAAAAAAAACATTACAATACTTTCCGAATTTGAGGAGTTCTACTGTATGTTGAAAGTTTTCTCTAATAAAAATTCTGAAAAAAAGATTATCAACTTTTGATTTTTAGATCCTCCAAATCTAGATTAGAGAATAGGTCTTCAAAGTCAAATGTATATACAGATTTAAGATTAGGAAGGATGTTGTTAATAATACATTTTTGTTTGAGTGTATAAAATTGTATTTTTTTTATTTGCCAATAATGGACTCTATGACGTACCCATTGGTACTAATTGTCCAAAATAGATACCTTTGGTGCAATTTTTTGATATATTTGAATTTTGTCTATTATATTTAATAATGTTGAAATCATAATTTGATCTTGTGTCATATACTACTATACTTTTTTCTTTTAGATTTATGTGTATAAATCGAGGAAGTTGACTTTTTGATTAAATTTGATTTTATCATTATTTTTTAGATTTGGATACAGAGGATAGATCTTTTCTATTAATTTTCAAAAATTGTTATTATTGAATATAAGAATGTCATCCTGTATCGGAACAACCACCAGTTAACTTTGTTAAGAGAGAAGAATTCCCTCTCATACCAAAATAACAGGAGGTTGGCCAATAATGGACTAGATGACGTACCCATTGGTACTCCTTGTTTTTGATTGTAAATTTGATTTTTAATTTGGATATAATTGAATTTAAGGAATGTTTCTAAAAGTATTTTACTTTATTCTCTAGTTAATTACAATGGTTTTGTTGCCATTGTGAATTAAGGGTATATTAAATGTCTTGTCAATTAAAAATTCTGAAAATAGATCAATAATTTTGAGTTAAAGATCCTCCAACTCGAGTTTAGAGAAGAGGTCTTCAAAATCAAAAGTATAAACTGATTTGAGTTTGAGAAGGTTTTTGTTAATAAAATTTAATACATTTTTTTATTGGAGTCAATAAAATTGTATTTTTCTTTATTGCAGATCTTTTTTGTCAAGAATTTTAAGGCTGAAGCTAGTTGAAGGTCTAATTTGCTAAAGTTATAAGTCTGAATTTGAGAGGATTTTTATGAATTTTGGGTATAATATAAATATAAGGTATAATGGAAGATTTTTTGCTATAAATTTTCTTTAACGTCTAATTACTTTTATTTGATTCGGAGTTATATTTGATACACTGTATTTATCACTGTTGTAAATTTCTTCCATAATTAAGTCGTGATATAAATTTTTGCAGGTAATTGAGAAGTTGTTGGAGCATTTGATGTGCTGATTTCCAACGCTTTCGTCCCGAAATCCATGAAGGCTCTTTCGTTCTCAGGGAGTTCACGAAATATACTTCCTGCTATATAAAATAATAAAAGTTGCGATTCAGAATACATTATATTTTTCTCTTGAAACAGTCACACATAAAAAAATAAATAAAACAGGCAATGAGAATAGATTGGGAGAATATACATGAATATAACCTGTTTAAAAAAAATATTATGAAAAGTTACTTATCTTAGTTTGGTGCTTCAGTTGGATGGGTGGAAAATTCCTTACACTAAAATCTTGAAAGACTACAGTTTGGCTGATTTCTCAGGAGCCTGACTCCCCACTCTCCCTCTTCCCCCCCTATCTTCTTTTTTTTTTTCCTTATCGCCTTCCTCAAAAAGTGCACCAAAAATTATTTTAACAGAGTAAAGAAAAAATTCTATAATATTCCAAATTAAAAAAATAAAAAATTTTGAAAATGAAAAATTATAATTAAAAGTTATTATTCAAAATACTATTTTAATTGACGAATATTATTAGAAAATATTAAAACAAAATAGCTGCTTATTTATTTAAAAAAAAAAAAAGGAAATTTATTATAATATTATAAATTATATACATAATTAGGAATAAAAGGAGGTGAAGAGATGAGCTGGTTTGACAATGAAAGAATGCTCGAAATCCTCTTCTTTCTTGTCGAGGCAGCTTCATCATTGTCCACCAGCTTTCTATTGGGTACTGTGGGTGAACTTTGTGGAGGCCCCAGGAGTGGCCTCTACACATTTATCAATTGGAGTAATAATATAATCTTCTTGGATAATGTTGATGTTTTCTTTTAATGTTTGAGAGAGAAGTTTTTACAATTTTTAGAGTATTGTGGTATTATTCCTTGATATTTGTTTGATAATTTCCAATTAAAGAAGGTAAATTCAGGTATCTTGTATTTTAGGCTTGTTCTAATTAATGAAGAGATTAAGATCTTGGTTGATGGAATTAACCGTGTTGTTGTAATTGTGGTTAATTGGAGGTATAAATTTATAGCCGTTGTTGAGTATGACTTGTAATTCTTTATTTAAGAATGTAAAGTCACTAGTTAGAATATGACCTTTAAATTTATGTTGGTCACTTATAGTATTGCAATTATTAGGCGTTACTGTAACTTCCTGGTACAGCCACTTGGGAAGTGACTCCAAGCGCTGCGGTCCTTCTGGAAGAGTTTTTCTGAGCAATGTGTTTCTACTCTTTTGGGAAGAGCTTTAACTACTGAAATTTTATGATGTACTGTGCCAAAATAATTGAAATTTAAGTAATTTCCTGTGTGGATTGATTTTCTAAAAATTATGCTCTCAATTTGGTTATGCTTTCTTTTAAGTTGGATATCTTAAAATGCTAAAGAATTAATATTTTCATTTGTAAATAATTCAAATCTTTTCAAAAGATTTGAGATATCTGTTTCGGTTATACAAAAAATGTCATCAATATATCTTTATCATAACGTTTTATGATTTGATCAATTTGATTCACGGAAATGTTTGCTTAGGTGGAAATAGGTTTGCCCATTGGTAGACCTTTGATTTGTCTGTGGAATTGGTCTTTAAAGCTGAAATAACTGTTCTAAACAAAGTTTAATTAAGCCTCTGAAGAGAACTTTCATCTAGAAAGTTTTAAAATGGCTTTATTATATGGAATTGATGTGTAGACTTAATCAAATGACACCATATAGCTGGAAATTGACAGGTTTTTGATTGTTTCTACAGCTACTGTCGTTGACACTGATGTTCCTATTAATTTGGCACATATTGCATGAAGGCCTTTATGACATCCAGTGCAAATAGTTCGGGATATTTTTCGGTTTTGTGGAGTTCTGCACTTTGAGGCAAACTCTGGACTTGAATCTGGCTGGTTGAAGGATTGCAAGGTTCTTGAATGTTTTCCACCATGCGTACCCCTTGCTCTTGGTACGGTCCAACTTGTAGTAAAGCTGGGCCATGGACACTCGATAGAGAGCGTCGACACTAAATTGTGCGTAGCGCACTGGTGACAGTAGTCCTTGGGTGGAGACTGCGTCGAAACCAATGCCTATGGTGGTGATGGGCACAGCGTATTCAGTTGGGGTCTGCTTTTCAGCGGCCGCCAACAGAGGAGGAGTTTAGATGAAGAGCCTGCTCTCCAATTCTTTCGTGAGATCAGATATAAATTCAGCATTCTTCTTTTCACGAAGTTGGAGACTGCGCTGAGTGTGCTTCTCTTCATTCTTTTTCTTCTGGGCCTGTGGATGGAAGGCACTACTGGGGTTATCACATTTCTTGGGGGGAGGATGTGATGTATTATTTGGAATATTTATGGTAATGTCCTCATAGTACAAATAATGAGGTGTGATGTATTATTTGGAATATTTATGGTAATGTCCTCATAGTACAAATATTGAGGTGTGATGTATTATTTGGAATATTTATGGTAATGTCCTCATAGTACAAATATTGAGGTCTGATGTATTATTTGGAATATTTATGGTAATGTCCTCAGTACAAATATTGACATCTGATGTATCATTTCGAATATTTATTGTAATGTCCTCATAGTACAAATATTTGATTTATAAATGCTACGTCACCCCCCTCTTTATTGGGGTTTATTGTAGAGCTATAATTTGTAACTTGTGTTTGTCAGCTATTTCCATTATTTATTCTAATTTTATTTTTGTTGCCGTTGAGCACATTCCATTTATGTTGCACTTCAAAATGCTTAATTGTTTGGAAGCTGCAAAGTTGTGTGGAGACTGTATTATACTTATCGGACAGAACCCTCTACCAATTAATTGAAGGAAAGACTGTGAACACATTGCCAAAAATTGAGATGAGGACGGTGGTGTTTTTTACATTTGACAAGCTTCTTATACACACACACAAGCCTTTTTATTGGGGCATCCAGCCCTATTCATGATTCCCCTCTACAGGATTTAGCAAAGGAAGATATTTCAAAAGTAAAAACTAGAATACAAGAAGTAATAAGGAAAAAGAAAAGAGAGAAGAAAGAAAAAAACAAACAAAAAGAAATATAACCATATATACAAAAAATAAACATACAGAGCAAAAGGAACCATACATGATTAAATATTTAAAAAAAGTACCAATGTTTAGAATATGTCAAGGTTAGGATATCATTGAGGGCTAGTGTGGAATCAGCCGCATTCAGTCTTCGTTTTCTTCCTCCAAGCAAACCATGACATTCGGTTAATCCATTATTCTCCAAAGGATATCCTTCAACTATTTTCCCTTCTATTTGGTCGAGTAAATTTTTGCAGTTGGTCAAATAGTTTTCGTTTGGTGGCAAAGTAAGCAAAAATCATACACACTCGCATTTCACCGTCCAACCTCAGACAGATCATAATCCATTGTTTTTCAATTTCAGTCCTTTCAATCTTGTCTTTTATAGCTTCTCGCATCCCAACAATAATTCCCCCCGATGATCTACCCTTCTTGTGGTCTCTCTGAGCAAGTGGTTCATACAGATGAAATCCTGTTGGTTTGTTCTTCAGATGTTGATCCTTCCATGTTCCTGTGAGTGCAAAAATGCTGAACTTTTCTAAATGTGTGAATAGGTCGACTTGCAGCAACATCCTTTCCAATCCATTAACATTCCAACACAGCACTTGTGTGTCGTCTTTGAACGAAAAACAAGATTGTTTATTTACAGTAGTTTGCCCATAAGTATTTTTATTTACAGAGGATTGGGGATTTGTCACTGGCTATAAAGCATTGTCGCCACTTTGGCTCATTATTCTACCATTTGTAACGTAATAGTCAATCCCACCAACTATGAGCCTGTTATCCCGTAGTTTCGTGGCAATGTTTCCGAACTCGTCGTTGTCCCTGCTTCCTTCCGTCCCTTGTTCCATTTGTCCGCCTCGTCGAGGAATTTCACCGCTTGTAGGAAGTCGGCCTCTTCTGGGTTCCGCATGGTACTCCATGAGGCTGCCAGTAGTAGGCAGTCTTTTGGAGCCAATGCCCACAATGCCTCCTTGTTTGAATCGAACGGCGAAAACTCACCTGTCGTCGCGTGGGCCGTAATGAGGTTCATTAAGTATTTCCCCGTAGCTTCCGTGAACTGGGGCCGTCTCATTTTCTTCAGTTCGTTACCCCTACTACGTGCCTGGCCGTCGTTCCTTGGGTAGCAAAGTTTCAGTGCTTCCAAGACGTCTTCAAGTGCGGCTGAAGGTTCAAACCTGCACTTGATAAATTCGCGGCCGTCAAGTGGAAGCTGCCGTACTAGGGCCTTCGTCCAGTCTCTCTTCGGTACCTTGCTCGCCTTCAGCCACGTTTTGAACTCCTCCACGTAGTCTTCGATATCTCCCTCCTCCGGGTTGAAACAAGGCGTCCCTCCGTAGCCGATACTTATGTTTGCGGCTTGAGGTGCTGGGCCGACACTGCTCTCCACCATGTGATGAGGCTGAAGTGGGGATGTAAATCTCAGTTTATTTGATGGTGGTAGGGCGTTGTCCTGGTGGGCTATGGTCACCAGGGTCCGTTCCAAGGCTGGGTTCGGGGTCCAGTTGCGGAGGGTCGTTCTCCGTTGCTCGTCGGTGTAGTCGTAGGCGTTGTTGTTACCTCCAGCTCCTTGGGGAGTTTCTGGATCTGATTGACATAAGGTTTGAGAAAAGCTGGCTGCTTTGTACGTACCATGGTCTCTGGATGGCTTAGTTGCATTCTGTCGAGGATTCTTTTCAAGTATCTGTTGTTGGATTGGACTTTGTTGTTGTTTTTGTTTAGTAAAGTTCTTAAAAAGCTAGCAGCTTTGTATGTACCATGGTATATCCAGGTCTCTGGATGGCTTAGTTGCATTCTGTCGAGGATGCTTTTGAAGTATCTGTTGTTGGGTTAGACCTTGTTGTTGTACTTGTTTAGCAAAGTTTCTGAAAAAGCTGGCAACTTTGTATGTACCATGGTATATCCATGTCTCTGGATGGCTTAGTTGCATTCTGTCAAGGATGTTTTTAAGTATCTGTTGTTGGGTTAGACCTTGTTGTACTTGTTTAGCAAAGTTTCTGAAAAAGCTGGCAACTTTGTATGTACCATGGTATATTCAGGTCTCTGGATGGCTTAGTTGCATTCTGTCGAGGATGCTTTTGAAGTATCTGTTGTTGGGTTAGACCTTGTTGTTGTACTTGTTTAGCAAAGTTTCTGAAAAAGCTGGCAACTTTGTATGTACCATGGTATATCCAGGTCTCTGGATGGCTTAGTTGGATTAGATGTGTTCTGAAGAAGGCTTGTACCGGGTTGTTGACAGTTCCGCTCTCTTTCTTTCTGCTTGTTGTTGCTCATCCTGTCGACTCCTGAGAGAAAGTGTAATTCAGCTGTGTTATCCAAGTTTCTGATGTCTTCAGTTCATATTCGTGACCACTCTTGTTCTCTGGTAGTTGAGTTTCCTTACGGGCTAATTGGCCATTTCAGGCATGGTCTTCTAGCCCCAACCTGTTCTCAGGGAGTTCACAATATATACCCTGCTATATAAAAACAAACGTAACTTGCCAATATTCTGCACACACTGGGGTTAATTGACTCTACGCCAATTAACCACTCAGAGCCAAAGTTGAGATTCAAAACAATTTCATTTATTCTATACAGAATGGTCAAACAGAAAAGAAAAAAGGCAATGAGAATAAAATGGGCAAAATATAATTAACCTGTTATAAAAAATATTATAAGAAGTTACTTATCTTTTTGGTTGCCTCAGTTGGAGGGCTAGTATGGAAATTTTATTCACTAAAATTTTAAAACTACATTTTTGGATGATTTTCTTAAAATTGTCCCTAATCTAAAAAAGAAAAAATACTATCCAGATCTTTTTGTTTGAGAATAAATCTGGAGGCGGGGATGGGGGGACTTCCATTTTAAAAGGAAGGGAAGAGGAAAGTCTGTAAAGTGTGGATAAGAGTTTGATCATAAGGTCCAAAAAGAACACCCACATAAGAGCGAAGTATGCAATAGTTGTTTATCTTTAAACACATATCCATAATAAATGTATGTCTGGAACTGTTGAATGATGCAATTATTTGTTACAATCTGTCATCACTATTAATATATGAAAGCTTATATTTGAATCATTTTTAAAGGGTAAAATTAGTACTGTTATGCTTATCATCTAAATGTGAAATGTAATCTATATGTAATCTGATTAAACTGGAATTAGTTCAATAAGTATATTGTAAATGAAGATGCTCTACATAATTTTTATTTTAGTTTATAATATAAATTGAGAGATTATAAGACCATTGTTAAATATTGATTTTTTAATGCAAATTTACTTGTTTATATATTTGTGTTTGTGTATATATGTAAATATATATATATTTATGATGTAAATCTCCTAACCAAATGTATCTTGAATATTTTGTATAATAAATATGTTTACACTTTTATGTCTGTATTTATTTATTTATTTATTTATTTATTTATTTATTTATTTATCTATTTATTTATTTATCTATTTATTTACATAACAGCAAAGGGCATACATTCAATGATCAATATCTCAAGATGGTGTGAAAATCCTTCAATTGACAGGATATTCTGCCACATATAGTTTAAAAATCAAATAGCCTTTTTGGTCAAATTTTGTAGTAAGCGACTGCTTTTACTCTAAGTGCACCACATGTCTACACAGGTGAAAAGCAGCTCGACTTTTAAATTTACAAGTGTGCCAATCCCTGTTTGATTACTTGCACTCGCTGGTGGGGTTAGATTTTTGCAAGAATCAGGGGCCATTGTAACATTTTATTTTTTTTAATTTGAAAAACGTGCTCAATGCAGGATTCAATTCCGGGTCGTAGAGGTTGAAAACCAAACACTGACGCTCTGGAAATATATTACTGGTGTGCCCTGTGCTACACAGCATCTACCACTGAAAAAAATATTGGGTGGAGTACAACTCTGGTTTTTACAGGATAGCGGCTCATAGAATTGGATCACTCTTATGGAATATTCACACAGTGTATGGAAGTTTCCTGTGGTTTTACAGCTATTGGTCTACAAAACATAATGACAGGAATTGAAGTCAGTTTAAAAGGCTTATATGCTGTTTTGTCATACGTCTTTATGTCATCTGCAAAGGAAAGTGTCGCCTCAAAGGACTTAACTCTGAGACTAACACCCTCTGCACATTTCAGGAAGAAGTGGCTGTCCATACAATAGCAAGATCTCATTTTGCTGCCAATGTATTTTGTCGAACCCCAATCCTCTAGGGTATTTCTTTATTCATTTCTTGACCACAATTAATGTTTCATGTGCGAACCCGCCTGGCATTCAATAAGTACTATATGATCGTGCCCCTTCCAGGAGACCATCCCTCACGTGGCATCAACTTATAACGCCGTCCATATCGCGTAATTGAAACTAATATAAAATTCAAAAAATAAGATATCGATTTCTCAATTCTCCATTAATTTAAATTGGCTCAACGTAAAAAAAAAAAAGAAGAGAACCCTAGAAACCCACCTTTTCAGTTAAAAACTAGGCGTCGACTGCTCTCATTGGCACTCAGAATTCCCACCTAGAGTATTCACATCTGGCAAAGATATTTCCAGAGATTCCCCCTCTTGGGTTGTTTTTCATCCTACAAATTCCCCAAAGGTGTGCGAGTATAGCCTCAGCTGTCAATCAAAATGTCTAGGGGCAGCTAAATTTAAGAGTTTGTGGTGAACAACCCAAGGGCTTTATGTGCGAAAAACAAAAAATGGAAAAGATTTTTGAAGATTAAGTAAAAGTCGAGAAACTTAGTTTACTATAAAACACAAATAAACATAAAGGATAATTATATTAATTTGTACTTGAAGTTTTGATGCAAATAATATTATGATTGAGTTAAATAAATTTTAAATATTTGCAGTTTCTTTATTAAGGTATGGGAGGCAAGCTTTCGCGCGGTCGCGCTTCATCAGGCCACTTTTTAAAATTTATTTAACTCAATCATAATTATATTAGTTAAAAATTTCAATATTCTAAAAAAAAAAACGATCAAAGGAAAAGTCTAAATTTCAATCATCATTGGACAGGACTTATAAAAGTGCTCAAAAATGGTGAAGTCTGTTTCAGTTGATCGAGGATGTCAAAGCTGTTGTTTGTAGGGTTACCCCAAGTATTATATAGATAGTATATACTGTTCTGAAAATAAATTTTAAAAAGGTAGCTTGTAAGCAAATAGAGCTGCAAAAATAATGAAATGTGATGTACAAAATTATTCTGTGGGGGGCGATCAATATTATATTTATATATATACTATCACACAATGTATAAATAATATCAAAGCATCTCTATTTTCATTGTATAAGGAGTCATCTATATCATCTTGGAAAAGTCAGTTACAGCAGCTTCAAGTCAAATAGGAACAAATACTCAATTCTTCAAAAAAAGCTAAAAGAATAAATTGGCAAGTTTTTATTGAGGAGAATATTTCAAATGACCCATTTGGATATGCATATAAAATCATTAATGAAATGAGATAATCCAATGAACAAATAGCATTTAACCTATTATTGTTAATTCACCAAAGAATCACAAGAAACACATAATGACAAAATTAATTTTCGGAGGCGTGGGTTCAGCAGATTCACCGCTGCCACCATGTAACTGACATTAATCAGCAAGAAGTACTTGGAAGTTTAAAAAGAAAAGTCTTTTTCTTTTTGGCTAACATCAGACATAATATAAATTATATCAGACATAAGTTTACATGTGATATATATTACAATAAGTCAATAGGCAACTGCACAGAGTATAATCAGTGATAATAATGTGCTCACTGATAATTTACTATATAGGTGTGCCAGCTGACGTTACACCATAGACAATATAAACTTAGATATAATATTGAACAACGCGATTTATAAGAAATTATGAACCACTAATGTACATAATACAATAAATGCAAAAAGCCCTCATTCAAGACTAAATAGCTTAAATTACATTAGTAGCAGAACTTGAGGAACTGATCTTAAAACCCTAAAGATCATATTAATTGATCAATCTTGGAATATGGCCTACATATATTCTCCAACGCATCTTTAACAAGCCTGAAACTTCTAGACAATATTCAGGTAGTAGCAACAAATATTATTGTCAAATTATATTGACAAATATTTGCTTTTTTTAAATCTTATCTCAGATTTTAGTGGAAAGGATTTTGTTATGGTTGATAGTGAACCAATCTCTCCCGCATTCTCATTGGACGAATGTGGCCATGTTTGTATATATATATAAGGGGGCTATGGTATTGCGTGAGTTGTGTGGTGGATATTTGGTGTGGAGACGCTTAAAGTGTTGTCTGCGTGGTTTATCCATGTCTGGCTATCTCCTCGCATACCTGTGTGACCCGGTCCAATCCCTCCTACCAATCCCTACCAACATAACAATAAAGAAAAGTACTGGTTTTTTTTTTAATTTTATTTAACAAATTGTGAGCTATTATTTACTTTTTGGTGTTGTACTCATGAGTGTACGATTTTCTGTGTTTAAGTCACTCTTACTGTAGGCCCTAGTTTATTGCATTTTGTGTTAACTCGTACATAGTATACTTAACATACAACACACTTAAAATACAGGTCACAACTTCAACCTAAGTAACCTAAAAAAAACCCTTTATACCTATATAGACACGAACAGAAGAGACTGTACTTAGAAACTTCTTTATCATTAAAAGAACGCCGGCAGCAATAGGCACATTGAAATCTCAGAATCACACACAGAACTCATAAATAGCAATTAAACGTACACTTCCCATATTTAATACAGCAACTCTTGTTTCGTAACTCTGCTCCATGGCTAATTCAAATTTCATAAGTTGAATTATTATATATAATAGTTTTACCTTAGTTTAGAAATATGTAAAGTTAATAGTTCCTTTATGAAAATTTTGTAAAGATGTAAATATATTAGGTAAATATATATAGCTACTAACAATCCACCACCATCACGTTACTCCTATAGAAGGACCACCATATCCGAAAGCTAGAGCCTTATTAAGCAAAAAAAAAATAATGCGCAACCTCGGAGTTTTATTATTTTTTATAGAGATTTCACAGAGGTTAAGATATTGGAATTAGTTTGCTATCTGGATATATAATGGAAGGGACCCTACTTGTAAAGATTATACCAAAGCATAACAAATAAGATATAACGACAAGCAAACTATAGACTTAATAGTGGACGGCTCTCCCATCAAAAAGATAGACGCTGTAATGGGACGTCACCTATTATTCGCCTCTTCAGACCAGCGGACTCGGGTTCGTGACACCCCCTTTTTGTGTCACGTTCTCTGAGGTCATCCAACGACTTTAGGGGATCTCAGATAAAAATGAACATGTCATTATTAGAAAATATAAGACCAAATTAACATTTCTATTGGAGTACAGTAAGTTGAAATCAATATTTTAAAGTAGATATCATGAAGTACCAGATTCAGATTTTATTGGTAGAAAATCTGATTAAACGTGCGGATATCCTTTAATCCCTATTTTTTTTATAATAAAGAATCAACAAAAATGCAATAAGTTACCATCTGGATATATGTGAAGGGCTCTATTTATAAAGATTATACCAGAATCTAACAGATAGGCTATAAGAAACGAACATACTTGTTAGGTTATTCAGTGATTGAATATATCATCATCACAAGTCAATGTTTTGGTTCATGTAAGATATGTAAGACCATATATTACTTAAAAGAAAAACTTAATAAAGTTACGTCTTCATGATAAGTTAGTGATTCGTTGTTTTGTACAAGACACTAACAAATCAAACATGGTGTCAGAAAAGTGATTTGAAAACAAACGAAAAAAAATATCGCGGTAAGTTCAATTTTACGTTAAGACTAATAAAATAATAAATAAGCCTTATCGTATATTAAATAGACAAAGATATGTATTTACAAATACCGCCACCTGAACCAGTTAATTTCAGAGGAAATATGGAAGAAAACTGGAGATATTTCAAATCGCATTGGCGTAACTTTTCAATAGCAACAGGGTTGGACAATAAAGAAGACAAATTAAAAGTTGCAACCTTATTGTCTATTATAGGCAAAGAAGCTTATAATATATTTGAACATCTCGATCTTTCAGATGAACAAAGAAATAACTCAGATGAGATAATAAATGCATTGACTCAGCATTTTACACCAAAAATTAACATTATTTATGAAAGATCAATTTTCAACCAAACAAATCAAGAAACAAATGAAAGTATTGAACAATATATATGTAGATTAAGAAAATTGTCTTCCACATGCAATTATGGTGCAATGACTGAAGAAATGATCAGGGATAGGTTAGTTTTGGGAATAATTGACAAGCAAACCAAAAGACAACTGATCAGTGATCCTCAACTAACATTGCAAAAAGCCATTGATGTGTGTAAGGCTAATGAAAGCGCTAACAAACAAATTGAAAACTTAACTAAAAACACTCAAGAGGAGGTGAACAAATTGAATATAAGAAAGAAAACAGTCAATCAAAATAAAATGAAAAAGAACATTCCTTGTAGATATTGTGCAACATTCCATGAGCACAACAAACAAAAATGCCCTGCATGGAATCAAACCTGCAGAAAGTGTAACAAAAATAATCATTGGGCAAAAGTTTGCAAATCCAGAATGAGAACAGTTCAAAGCCTTGAATCTCAAAACTCCAATGATGAACAAGAAGATTGTTATTCTTTAGAATACGTCTCAGAAATTTCTGCTAGAAAATTGATGACTAAATTAGAATTAGAATTGAATGGATACAAGGAAAGCATAATTTGCCAAATAGATACAGGAGCCACTGTCAATGTTTTAAATTTTGCGGATTTATGCAAAATCATGCAAGATGGCAATCCTTCTCTTAAACCAAGCTACATCAAACTAAGATGCTATGGAGGAGAAATATTAAAGCCAAGAGGTCAAATCAAAATCAACTGTTCCCACCAAGGCAAGCAACATCCTATAGTGTTCCAAGTGATAGATCATTGGGAAAAACCTATTCTAAGTGCTGAAACTTGCCAGAAATTGAATTTAATAGAAATTAAAGCTGACTTATGCAAAATTGAATCCACTCGGACAAAACAAAATAA